GTTTGAAGCGCATCCAGAAAGCATTTACAATGAATTAAATTTTTAGTAAAAAAAAGAGAAATAAAGAATTGCAATAAAAATAAACTAATTTTTTTTTTAAAGTGAAATTTTATTATTAAACAATATTTATTAAACAATGTCTATTTCAATCCATGAAAGTTTCTCCGTTTAAAATCGTTAAAACTGTACCAATTTGCTATGCTTAAAAATAAAGAATTATCCAAAGTTCTTTGTCTAGACCAAAAAGCATATTGCTGAAAAATGTTGTGATAGCAAGTCTTATCAATACATGATAGCAAGCTTAAACAGAATCACCTCCGCTACGCATGCTATACATCCTTTTAATCCATAATTTTGAAGACAGTGTTGCACAGTTGAAGCTAAAATTAAATAAAAATATATATTAAAAAGGTTTTTTAAAAACTCTTTTAGTATATGTATTTTAGACTATTTTAGTATATATATATTTAGATGTCATGCCATCATGATCACCACATATCTTTGATTTTGCTGATTTTTATACCGTTGAGATTATTTAGTAAAATAAATTCCTTGAAAATTTTAGCCTCTAGCCTCAAAAAATCCTAAAATATGACCATTTTACTTTTAGCAGATATTGCCAAGCCTCTCTTGTCTCTTCAGAATTGCAACGTTTGAAGATTTTAAGTCTCTAAAAAGATTTTTTCTTTTTATTTAAACATTTATATCTGGCTATTTTCAGGTGTGACGAATAAAATGATCTGAAATATAAAAAATTATTATCAAGTACCTGCATTTATTAATTCAAATAAATTTAGGCAATTTTTTATATGCCTGCTTTTAATGCCAGAGAAACTTATGTAGCCTTGATATCATCAAGGCCACATGGCCGGAGCACCAGGGGACATATTTTCTCTATAAAATTTTTTTTTCTGAATTTAATAAAGTAAAAATAACTTTAAAAATACTGTCTTCAAACTTTTTTTTAGTTTAGACTTGTTCTGTTTTATTTAATTATTTACAAAATAAAATACAAAAAAAAATAAGTGTCAGTTGTTACAGGTGCATCAATGATTCAAATTGTGTTGGTAATTAAAACCCAACACTTATGGGCAAAATAATTTGTTAAAAGAGCTGTGTGGGTTTATAAATGTTGCCATGTTTAACAGATAAAAATTTTAGCAATCTGCCATCATCCTGAAAAGGTTTCAATACAATAAATTTCATTTATCAAACCAAGCCAATAAAATACATCAACACAGAATTTACACAGAATAAACTCACCAAATCTATTGATATTATTTTAACTGTTTTTTAACCTGTATACTTGCAAATCAAAATTCTCATAAACATATGAACTTTTTTTAAATATTTTAAAAGAGATCATTGAATATAGAATATTCATTTTTTGAAGACAATACTTTCAAAGTTATCTTTACTTTGTTAAACTCAGAAGTTTTTTTTTTAAAGTGGGTCATGGCCCATGGTTCCATGAAAGATGAAAGATCAATAAATATATAATGATGTGATATATGATAAAGATTTTTTTTTTAATATTATCAAGGCCACAAAATTTTTTTGAGCATCAAATTCCGGTATATAAAAATTTGCCTAAATTTATTTAAATTTATATTGACAGGTTCTTAGTAGTGCTTCCAATACCCATACCATTTTTCAATACCTGTATTTCGGTACTGAATAATTTCAATACCGGAAATACCGGAATAATACTAAACTTTATTTTAAAATAATAATATTAAACTTTATTTTAAAATTTATCATAATATAAATAATAATCTAAATTAAATTTATCATAATATAAATAAATCTCAAGTTAATAGTAAAAATTTCATTGATTCAATAAGCTTATTTATTTTACATCAAAACTACTGAATTTTTCATTTTTTGCTTTTTTCTGCTTTGTAAAATGAGCCTGTAAAAACATAAGGCGTCCAGTATATCATCTTCAAGAGATCATCTAATTTTGTGACAGTGACCACTTGTTGTAAATCCACGCTCCGATTTGAAACTTGTTGGCTTCACAGTTTTCAAGTAATGGTAGGAATTTTGCAAATATATACAACGATTTCCTCCTTCGAAAACTGCCTTGTTGTTATATTTCTTATTTTTCAAAATTGCAAAGTCAAGCTTTTCTTTCAATGACAAGTTTACAGCGTTGTCCACAGAATCACTATCGGAAAAAACTCTGGTGGAAGGGAAAGGGCTATACGCTTTCTGATTAAGCCAATCTTTCAGTCGAGCAATGGAATTTACAATGGCTATGTTTGCTATGGTGCTCAAAAGATAGAGCTGGATCCAAATTCTTGTAATGTTGATGGCCCTTGTGCAGAAAATATTGTATGATGGAAAAAGAGTATGTTGTTCATAGAATCGTCACACCAACATAACTTTACAGCTAAATTGGTTTCTCCAAGGTTATCTATCATGAAAATGTTGTATCGGCTCTCAACAGTGTTGCATTTTGGCACAATGTTTCCACAGCCAGTTTTACTGGCGCAAGACATAAGTTAACTGCTAATATTGCATTGAACTCCTTATTAGTTACCTCAACTTTGGTCTCAAGGGCAATCAGTGACTTTCGAATGCATTTCTTCAATTATACAAAACGTTCGAGTACTGTGTGCAAACTAATCCAGCGAGTTTTGTAACCAAGTATTAGTGGAAGGTCTTTATCAAATTTTGTGTGTTTTTGAATTTTAATCATTTTTGTCGGAGAGCGGCGAAATAAAAATTTCACAACAGTGCGCATCTTTTTGATTAACAGCTGCAAATCATCAGTCAGTTCAATAGAGTCATTCTCTTCACTCATTACAACTTGAAAACTGCCGTAAAAGTCTTCATCATTATTGGTTTTGTTTGTGTCATCAGTATTTCCTTGTCACTTTCTCTGTTATTGTTGTAATTGCAGATTACTTTCAAGTTTTTTTTGCAGAAGTTGACGGTTTTTTTGTACAAAATGTCTTGAATACCTTGTTGAATCCCATGCCTAATGCACAACTGTTGATCACAGTTACTTAAATGCCCCACTTTCTACATTAGGGAAACTTTTCATATTTATGATTGTGCAAAATTCAAACATGCATTTTTCATTAAAGCGAGTGACTTAATGAAAAGACGAAAGTAAATGAAATGCTTAAAACTTCCAGTCGCGATCAAACAACGCTTCCAGCAGGAAAAAGGTAAAAGATGACAAAAGTCGTGTTTAAATTGTTGTATTTTATACGTCTTAAACGCGTCTTTAACCCATAGGTAGCGACTAGCTAGCTATTTGCTGGCTAGTTGCTAGTTCATTTTCCACCGGGCTCGTTTATCTTGTAATGAGACTACAAAATCATCCTCACTAAAGAGTTTGGGATTGAGAAAATAATAAGTTGTTTAATTGAATTTTGAAATAAAAAAAAAAATATTGCTAAAAATATTTAGTTAAAAATAAAACTTTTTTAATTTAAAAGTAAATTTTTGTTTTAAGTATTTCATTTACTTTCGTGTTTCATGTAAAGAGGGCAATAGCACCTGCTATATCATAAACCTACATATATTTACATATATTTTTAATACCGGTATTGAGCCAAACCAATACCGGTATTTCAATACTTAAAAATATCCAGTAATACCAGCATTCCGGTACCGGTACTACTGGTATTGAAATCACTAGTTCTTAATAATAATTTATTACATTTCTGATCATTTCATTGGATTCTTCACCCCTGAAAATATTTTTAATTAAAAAGATCAAAATCTGAGATATAGGCATTTTAAAAAAATTTCCGTGTCATTTGACATGGAATTACTCTTTTGAACTCTTTTGTAATTGAAACTTAAAGAAATGAATTCGATACTTTTAAAATTGTTTTTGTGTCTCATATTTCAAATTAACACATTTTTGTAACTGTTTATTAAAAAAGATTTAATTTAAGTTTTTAATAAGCCGATCTATTTCAATTTAAGTTGTATTTTAGACACTAAGTTAAAAAAGCAACTAAAAAAATATTGCGCATTATTAAGTATATTTTATTTTTTTTAAAGTTTTTGTTTAAAAAAGTTTTTTAAAAAAATACTAAAGCTTTTTAGTTCTTTGTTATTGCTTTTTTTTTTTTTTTACAGTTTTTTTTTAAATGAAACTCTTATACTTGTTATTTGAAAATATTGAATTATTTAAAAAAATTTTATGTCAAAACATTTTAGAAAAATCTTCAATCACAAACTTTTATGTCAAAACATTTTAGAAAAATCTTCAAAAACAAACTTTTATGTCAAAACATTTTAGAAAAATCTTCAATCACAAACTTTTTTACCTTAAAGACACTCACAAAAATGTAACAACGAATTGTAACAATAATAAAATGTAACAACAAAAATGTAATGAAAAACATTTTTTTGCTTTTTTTTTATTATTACGTAATTACATAATACTTATTAAAGTGAAATTTTAAATGCACTAGATGTTTTTTTAATATTTTGCTTTATGTAAGTAAAATATGACTCAACCTAAATAACATTAAATTTTGCTGTTTAGAAAAAAATAAATGTATTATATATATATATATATATATATATATATATATATATATATATATATATATATATATATATATATATATATATATATATGTATGTTTATATATAACAAATAATAAATGTATGTGTGTGCATACGTGTGTGTCTGTTTGTTTTTTGATCTTATCTGTGTTTTATTTTTTTCAGTTGTCCATTACAAACTTCAGTTCTATTTCTTTTATTCAGAATTAGAGATGATTGCTCATTTAACTTTATTTATAAAAATAATTTTATTTATAAAAACTAACGAGAAAACGAACTTTATTTTTTTTTTTTTTGTTCAATTGAAAAAAAAATTCATAGAGATTATCATATAAATTATATCATTATAAGTTATTCAAACTTAAAGAAGCTTAAAGATGCGATTTGAAAAGATCTGCCTGAAATGGTCCAATTATATTCATTATGAAGCAATTAATGCTTAATTTATTTTACTCTTTTAGGTACATGACCCTGATTTTCAATCAAAAGTTACATGTATTCTAGATACAGAAAACCCTTTTTTTGTTATGAATGTCATGTGCATCTATGTAAAAAATGGAGCTTTAATTGATTATGAAGAAAATAAAAATTTCACTCTAAAAATTGTTTGCACTGATGATGGTCAACCCCCCTTGTCTGTATCAAGCAACATTACTATTGAAGTTAAAGGTATATAATTGTTATTATTACTATTACTATTAGTATTATATATACTATAGTTTTTGTCACAAGACTATGTCTTTTGACACAATAAATATGAGGCAAATAATAGTATATATAACCAGGCCTTGCGATAAAGCGTCGGGCGATGTGAATTTTACGTCGTCCAAGAGCGATTTTGCGTGTAGCTAGGGCTATTTGCGTAGAGCAAAAAATTTTTTGTTTGAGTATATTTAAAGATAATTTTGAGCGGAATTTTAATGAAGTAATTTATGATTATTTTAACTTTTAATAAAGTATTTTAAAAACCGCACGCGCAGTTGATACAAAAGTTTGATTTACAAAAAAATTAAAAAATGCTCATTATTTACAAGTAGAAAAAATTCAGATTTTAAATCTTTTAAGCTAACATTTTAATAAAATTATTCAGCAATAGCAAAGTTGTCGATAAAATTGAACAAAAATACTTTCTTTTAGTTTTAGATTTTAAACTTAAATAATTATTTTATGGGGGTTTGTTAGGTTTTAAATTATTCCATAGATTGAAAAATATTTATTAACTGTTAGACGTATTTAAAGTATTTAAGAGTAATTTCGAGGAAACATTTTTAAAATTGATAAGCACAAATAAAAAAAAATAAAAGGAATAATATTAAAACGTTTTCGACTTGATTCAATAAAAAAAAGTACAGCTATTAAAATTTTTTTAAAAAAGTAACTCGAAAAAAATTACTTAAATAATAACAATCGCTTTTTTGTTAAAAGTTACCGAAACTCAACGAAGCGTGCTCAAGATCAGCTGCTGAAAAATAGAACGTCAATAGTTTTTCGAATAATTTTTTAAAATAATTTTTAAGAATAATTTTTTCGCCGAAATATGTCTTTTATACCTATAATATTTTTATTCTAATATTTTATTTTATTTTACCAAAAATAAAATTCCTTGTAAACATTAAAAATCTATTCAAAACGTTTGTTAAAGTTTTTTAGTAATACGAGTGATTGTGCTTATCAACCGCTTTATGAAAATAAATAAATGAAAAATTATTACATAAAATCGCTAGTAAAAATATTAGCTATTGCACAGTTTTTAATCGTACAATATTAAAATTTCCAGTTTATTTCTCGCTGACTTTTTAAAAAGAAAAAATAATTATTTAAAAAACTTCAAATTATATATTTGAGAAAAAAAAAATCAAATATTAGCATATTTTATAATCTTTTTAAAATGTTTAGTTATAATGTTTTTTATTCGTTTAGTATAGACAAAACGTGTCAAACGTCAAGAAAATAAACAAATGTTTTTACATTTTAAAAAACGAAACATTCCAAAACATTTTAAAATAATAACATTTCTACATTAATGATTTAAAGTATTTTTGCAGTAATTAAGTAAATTGGTGCAGTTAATGTCAATAAATATGAAAAGCAAATAAAAAGAATTTAATGGCGTCAAAAATCACGTCGTGCTTATGCGTCGCACAGTTTTTATTCATCACAAGGCCTGTATAACCAAATATTTTTTTGCTATATATTAATGACTTGTTTCATGATGTGGAAATTTTTGGTGAAATAACTTTAAACTTATTTTCTAATGTATTTTAATGGCATAAATACAGCAAGAAGGATGAAAAAGTCAATTTATTTAAACAGTGATAATGGCAACATTAACTACTAGCTTTCCCGACCCGTGAAATATGGGTCTTGAAAAATTCATTTTTTTGAAAATTAAAAAAAGCATTAGTTGTTAAGAAAAAGGAACAAAACATATCTTTTCAACAAAATTTATTTACAAACAAAACAATACAAGTTCTTATTTATAAAAAAGAACAGTATTTTTTTAAAAGAAATCATCATTAAAACAACTTTTTATTATTTATAATTTCAATATTTATATACAAAATAACAAAACAAAATATATAAAGAAAAATATACACAAAAAAATTAACTACATCTACATCATCAATTAACTATTGATAGATTTACAAACTACAAAAAAAATAATTACAAAATTTCCCTCCACTCTCTCATCTCATATTTCACTTTCTTCAAGAGTGGCTCTCCCTTTTTTTAAAAAAAGAGCCTTTGCCCCAAATTTGGGTCCACACCCTATGTGCCTTATAGGATGTCAGCTCTCTATTTGTTCTTTAATATGCCAAAAAAGCAATGTAAGATAAATCTAAAATGAAAAAAAGCAATTATGATATGATAAAAGAAAAAAAGACATCATATAAATATTACAAATTAATTCACCTGTTGTTTCTTTTAAAAATATTTAAATTTTCAAAGAAAAGACAATTAAGTATTAAGGTGAGTTTCCACTCATCCGTTTTTTCACGGGAAGGGGATAGGAAAGGGAAAAATAATCACGTGAGCATGCTTAGTTTTCCTTCAGACATATTAAAACTTATGCTACGCATGCCCACGTGATTATTTTTCTCGTCCCTTTCCTGTTCCCGTGAAAAAACGGATGAATAGAAACTCGCTTTTACACAAAGTTGTAAAAACATAATAATTAACAGTACAAACAAATTTTATTATTTAACCAGAAGTTAAAGTAATTTTTACCTTGATTGCAACAAATTATTTTTACCTTGATTGCAACAAATTATTTTTACCTTGATTGCAACAAACTATTTTTACCTTGATTGCAACAAACTATTTTTACCTTGATTGCAACAAACTATTTTTACCTTGATTGCAACAAATTATTTTTTTTTAAACTATTATTGATCAACATAGTAAATTTCAAATAATTGAAATTTACTAAATTAAAACCATATTTGAACAGTAGACAAAGTAAACTAATGAGCAATGGTAGAACACCAAGGTAGAACCACAGAAATAAAATAACAATAATAAAATAAAACATGTTTGTAATACATAATACATAATACATAATAATCTTTGTAGAAAAACATAACAGATAACTCTACCATTTTGAGATAATAGAGAAAAAACTATAAAAAAAAAAAGAAAGAATATAGTAAAATGTTTATTTTGATTAAAAATATGTTATAAATATATCTTATTTTATTAAACTTTACTTTGATAATTTTTTTTAACAGATAAGGACATATATACAAATACAATGAAAAAGTGATTTTTAAATGCTTTTACATCGCAAGTACTTATTAGATGCCTCCTAATGGAGCTATACTTGTAGATTATTATGAAAATTATTAATTGCATTTTGAAATATTCACAATACTCTTACTGATATATTCACAACACTCTTACTGAAATATTATTTTAACTGAAGAAACATAAACACTATCACATCAGAACTGATGGGTACTATCCTTTGATTCATAAAGACTCCAGTATTCACATGCTTGGCTTGGGGGTATACATTATTATCAATTCACCTATCTGGTGTGAAATCAGGTTTGAATCCTTTGACCTTTTTTATATGTGCTTCCACATAGTAACTCTTCACATTCTCATTCTTCCCAAGACTGCACTCTTTTAGATGTAATTTCTAATCGAATTGATCATGTCCTCTCTCTTTACCCCTCTGCCAATATTGTTGTTATTGGTAACTTGCTCATCACACTGAATGGCTAGGCTCTAACACCACTAACCCTGTTGGCATAAAAACCTTTAATTTCTGCATTTCTCAATTTCTTACACAGATAGTTAAGGTTATGACTCATTTTCCAGTCAACCCTAACATTTACCTTCACTCCTTGATTTTTTTTCTTTCTCAGCTGATAAATGCACCTCCTGGATTCAGGCAGGAGTTGAAGCTTTTATTTTTTCAATTGGGTTCCAAGTCAAACCTCATTCTTCTCCGTGGTTTTCACAATCTTGTGCATCTATATCTAATCGTAATCATTTTTTCATCTTTTTTAAAACATTAACTATTTCGAGAACAAACAGCTATTTTTTATTGCAAGAAATCAATGTAAAAAAAAGCTGTCTGATGCAAAGCTCCATTATTCTCAGTTTATTAAATCTCAGAACTCTCAGCTCACTCAGAAGGCTCTAGAGACTTTTGGAAAATCTTTAACAGCGAAAAACTTCAACAGTCCTTAACAAGGGTAGGTTGAACATACCATCTCCCATTCATGGGACTGATCTTATTACCTTTCACAAGGATAAGGCAGAAGAACTTTCAAATAACTTTTCTTCTAATTCGACTCTTGAATCTTATAGCCATTTTCTTCCTTCCATTCCAATTGAACAGTTCAACCCATTGTTAGACATTCAAATCATTCCAGCTTCCATTACTTAAGTCATATGTCAAATCAAATTACAGCTTAAGACAACATTTATGTCATAATCTTACAAATATATATTCTCCAGAACTCTCTTCAATTCTCTCTAAATTATTTGAAAGTGCTTGAACAAGTCTTGTTTCCCTGCCTACTGGAAAATGGCATCTGTGGTTCTAATTTTCAAAAACTTCAAAGAACATTCTGACCTCTCCAATTATCGTATGATCAGTCTTCTTTCTGCTATTAGCAGGTTTTTGAGCCTTTGATTAACAAATAACTATTTGAGTCAAATAACTTACTGTCAGACAATCAATACAGTTTTGGATCCTTTTGCTCTATGGCCGATTTGCTAACTGCTGTGATTAAAAGATTTTATTGTGCATTAGATGGAGACAAAAAGGCTAGGGTTATTGCTCTTGACATATCTAAAGCTTTTGACAAAGTTTGGCATGCTGGTCTTCTTCATAAGCTTTCTTCATAAATACCTGAAAAAGTTTTGAAACTATTAAATTGTTTTTTTGTAACTGCTTTTATAGAGTCATCCTTGAATGTCAACACTCTTCTTTATTTCCAGTAACTTCTGGGGTACCTTATTGTTCTATCCTTGGTATCTTTGACAAAAAGAGAGCTACTTTAGATGTAAGGACAACCTTACATCTAAAGTAGCTCTCTTTATGCTGAAGATTCAACTTTATACTCTTGTCTTGACAAAAAGTCTTCTTTTTTTGATTATTTAGAACAAGCAGCCAATATTGAATCTGATCTCACTTCTGTAACATATTGGGGCTT